TGTGTGTGTGTGTGTGTGTGTGTGTGTGTGTGTGTGTGTGTGTGTGTGTGTTATAAGTATCAGATTAGTTTGTTACGGTGAGAAACAATTTTTATCCCAGCTGTGGTAACTCAATCATTGCTTCCTTGTATCAGAGCTAAGGGATGGGGGAGGCCATTGTCGGCTGCTTGTTGGCTTTTTAAAAAATGAGCCGCTTTCCCCATGGGTTGCTTCCCTGTTACCAGATCTAGTTGTAGTAAAAAAGTCCGTAGGCCTAACACAAAATCGTTCTTTATCGCGTTTTTTCGCGTAATTTTGCAACACTTGCTTAATTTTGGATTATCCGCGTTTTTTCATGTTTTTTTCCTTTTTTTCACAAAACAATTAATTAACGCCTCGCCATGTGACTAAAGGGACGTAATCACCGTAATAAGTCTCATTTAAGTGAAAAGTTGGTTATTTCCCTGGTTAGAAGATCTTGATTATGGGTTGTGATTTTGTTCCTTAACCATGTTCAATTTTTCAATCCATCAAAAGTTGTTGTTCTCATGTCTGCTGGTGTTTCATGTTTGACAGGTGTCCCTGGTTTTAGTAATGTGCCAGCATTAGAGGTCCAGATGTCCTTTTTTAAATTTAAAAAAACAACATTTTTCTTTCCTCTATAGATCAAGATCTAGATCTACAGCTGAAAGTTACAGAGATTATTATTATTATTATTTTTTTTTTTTACTGAAGTGTATTGTTTTCTTTTCAAAATACACAACAAATTACTGATACTGATATGTTCTGTTTTTAATTTTTCTGTACATAAAACATGAAAATCATGAAACCTTGTGTTGAAAAAGTGCAAAACATGTCGCGAATGGTGTTACGCCAACTTGCATAATTTTTGCATAATTTTGCTTTTTTTGTGCATAATTTGGCCTTCTAAATTTGCATAATTCTACGGGGACAGATATTGCTTTTCAATAAAGCCGTGGACATAGAGCCAGTTTTGGGAAGGACCATAGGCCAGCCAATCGAACAGTCTGTTGGTTTCCATGAAACGCAAAGTAGGCCTCGTATTGAATTCTAGTGGTTAAAGACAGTAACTCAAACCCATAAGCCGAAAGAAGAATCGAAAAATGATTCACGTCTTCAATAAATTTACTCTTTAGGAAGCTGGGGACATAAACGTCTAAAACGCTTTTTAGAATAAACGTATGACATATCTGTATTAATGTACTTTTTGTAGGGTTATAGGGCCTACTTATATTTTACCTTTGGTAGAACCTGTTTAATAGAAACAGGATTTTAATTTAACATCTACGGTTTTGCCCACTCAATCGTTTTGTAATTTTGTTTGTTTGTTCAAAAACTATTTTTCTGCCATCAACTGAAGCCCTCAGGTCAACTGCTCTGTTCAGTTGTTGTTGTTTTTTTTTACGACTACCACTCGTCAGCCTCCCTTTTGAGGCAGTTTTGACCGCTGATACCATGTAATGTAGGCCTTAGCCTAATCTTGCCTTTCCTTAAAGCCACTGTTGCCCTGAGTAGTCTTTTAATTTTAACTCTTTCAAAGCCTCGTAAAGGGGGCTCTCGTGGCCTAGAGGTTAAGATGTTCCCCTCTCATTCAAAGGTCCCGGGATCGAATCCGGGTATCGACGGAAACATTTTCTTATCTAA